GGTCTTTGCTTCGAATATTTCGATGTTGAGGATATTTTGGCACTTTTCGATAAAGTATATGGTAAGACATAATCCAGAAAAAATGTATATATTACCCTGACAGTTATTTTACCTTTTTGCTTGCTAAAAAATAGTTGCATGGTTGATGATCCGAATTCATGATAAACTATTCCCACTAATAGGTTTAGTAACTCATAGTTATAAGCTTAACTACCATTAATTAATTCTTTTAAAAGGGTGGTTAGTGGACGTTTATAGCTTCTTAGCAATAGCATAATGTTCGATACGTTGGACTAGACAGTAATAAACTTGCAACATTGTAAAAGAATAAACACAAGAACAAAATTAAAAGAAATAAAATTAAGATAGTACTCAACTTGAATGAATCTAGAGAGAGCATGTGAAGCCAGGAGGTGGTGTTTTCCCACAAGTAACAAGAAGCTGAAGAGCAATTGGGACATAAATATTAAGGTTAAGAAGCTTGAGTTTAAGAGTTGTGCATAAACAAACTGCAGCTTCAAGTTCCACAAGCCCAGAAAGAACTGGGCAGCACACATTAACAGCAGGGTCCCCAAGACCAATGTGCACCAGCCCACCAAGAAGATCAACACAGGCACCAAGTTTGAGTGTGTCAATGGGGCAAGTGGCGGCTGGTGCGCAAGGGGTTCCCTTTCCTGGTGGGTTGAGTGTAGGTGGAAGGGTAACTGGTGGCACAATTGGTGGCAATGTCACTGGGGGTAGGGGTATTGGTGGCAATGTCACTGGGGGTAGGGGTAAGGTAACTGGTGGCTTGACATTTGGCGGTAGGGTAACCGGTGGCTTGACGGCAGGCGGGAGGGTGACCGGTGGTTTAATGGGTGGTAGAGTCACCGGCGGAAGGGTGACTGGTGGTTTCAAAATTGGAGGCAAGGTGACTGGTGGAACTGTCACCGGAGGGAGGGTCACTGGAGGTTTCAAATTTGGAGGCAAGGTGACTGGTGGTTTTACAATTGGTGTCGGGGAGACTGGTGGTTTTACAATTGGTGGCAGGGTGACTGGTGGTTTTTTGACTGGTGGTTTTACAATTGGTGGCAGGGTGAATGGTGGTTTTACAATTGGTGGCAGGGTGAATGGTGGTTTTACAATTGGTGGTTTTTTAACTGGTGGCTTGCCGATAGGCGGCAGGGTGACTGGGGTGGGCTTGGGGAGGGGTTTGGTACAGTATCCACAATCAGGAGTGATGACATCAGAGGCTGAGGAAATGAAGAACACGGAAATGAGAAAAAGGGCTGTAAGCGTAGAGGACTCCATATTGGTTAACAATGGTGAGAATTGCAGAGAATTTAGCGGGATTTATATAGAATGAATGAGTTGAAGAAGAAAACAAAAAAACCCTAAAAACCAAAGCACGTGAACCAAAGGCAAATTCCAAAATTTGCAAGTTGTCAACATGCAAATGGAAATGCATGAATCTTACTGTTCTTTTACTCTCTATAACTAAATCTTGATTATCATTTCATTAGTGCCAAAAAGGAGAAGCAAATTGTTTATCGGAGTAGAATGATTTGACAGTATTGAATAGAACATTTGAATCGATGAATTTGATGACATTAGTGTCGGTGCACTCATTGAATTAACTGACGAAATATCGTTATTCGTTGATAACTATCCACAGTATCATTGATGTTGTTTTTATCAATGATCATTAACGGTTAAGTTAATTACAATTCTAAATACCCATTTGAATTTAAAAGAATTTGAGCGTGCATATGAAAACTCGATTTTTGCATACTTTTCTCTATCCTTTTTTCGAAAATTACAAATCAATTAAACATGGATACAAATTCTTACTTGTGATTACACAATAATTCTATGTAAATTTTTTAATTGCATGTCATTAATATAACTATATAATCATTCCATCTGAATTGAAAAAACAAAAGAATGTTGCAGAAAATATTCTTGCACCCATTACAAATTATGATATTCCTTAAAGCTACAATTTGATCTGTATGTAATAACGACAATTAAGATTATACGACATAATCATAGTATGAAAACGTGTTAAACAGTTAAACCACGATCAAGAGAAAGGGAAAAAAATCAATATTCATTTGACCATGGAAGCGTTAAAACTTGAGGTCTGGTATGGAAAGGTTCAAAATTGAACTTCTCTTTATAATACGTTAATATGGAACCCTTATACTTATGGCCTCTACGATAAGCGAGTGAATAGGGCAGGTTTGTGGTGAACGGAACGGTTCATCAAGCCATTTTTAGCCTCAACTCCCTAGATAGGGGTAATTGCTTTGCACCGGTCTAGCTCTCTCCTTTATTGGAGCTTTGTTGTAACTAGTGGCCGCTTTCTCGTCGCTAGAGCGTTTTCTCAGTGTGCGGAGCCCCAACGAGGAAGGTTTTAGTGGTTTATCATTGGGTCAATAATGCTAATCCCTCTTTTTGTGCTACTCCTACTCCTAGGGCGAAGTCCCTACAAAAATAACGAGTACATGTCAACAATAGCTTTTTTATTCCAGAACTCCTAGGTATATATACTTTATTAAAAATAATTCCTTAATAATTAAGAGTTTGGTCCTTGTGACACATGAACTAATCATATATGACTATGAGATAGAGAATATATTTACGAAGTAATTTTCACATTCCTCTTCTTTGTAAAATTTCCTGTTTTGAATTAAGAGAAAAAAAGACAAAAAACCTTGAATGATATATTCTTGGTTGAAGAATGCATGTCTTAGACAAATTACCTGCTGGAGAGCTAGTACAGTAGGGCTCCTAAACGAAGCTGACAGGTCGATCGAATAGGTACAATATAAAATAATAGTGAATAAGAATGAATTTAATGCGTTCTAATATTCGAGTATCACCATTTATTACAGAAAGTAACCTTACCAAGAAAAGACATTAGCATCTACGGTCTATAAGCGAAAGAAATTTTTTTTTTTTGTCAGTATCTATTCTTTCGCAATTTTAAAGGATTAAAACCCCAGTTCGTCCCTTAACTTATACACACTTTCGTACATAAAATTAGATTTTAAAATATTAATATTTAATTAATAAACTTTATAATATTTATTGATTATTAGAATCGATTTGTGAGTTCAAACGAATGGTAAAAATAATTTAACCCAAGGGTAATATCATGACTTTAAGATTTGACGTTTATTGTAAAAAATAATTCAATTCTTGAAGGATCTCAAGATGGGACTACTTATCCAACCTACGGAATCGAATCTTAATTTTTTTTACATAGAACTTGAATGGAGCAAAAGAATCAAATTAATGACGATTGGACAGTTAAACGATGGTTGATAGCAACCGTGAATATTCAATTTTTAGCATCTTTGTGAATTTTACTAAGATTTAGAATTTCAATATTAAAACATCAACATAATTACCAAATTCTTATATACCGTGCCCTTGTTTCGTAGCAATTTTTCACCCAAAAAATAAAAATTTTTCACCATTATTTCACTATTTCAATTATCATTTTTGACTTCTTTATTCACAGATGAGACCTACTTTTCTCTCTAATGATCAAAAAATCAATTATCATAATTACTATCGAACAGACCATGTATATTCATTTCATATTTATACGACGTGCAATACTAACATTTCTCATAGTATCTGTCCATTAAAATTTTTACATATGATCCTAATGATGAAAAATATTTGTACCATTTTTTGTTTTTTTAATTATAAAGCTATCTAACAGCTCGATATTTATGATTTGAGCTTTTCTTGTATCAAATTAAATAGGCATGGCAGAAAAATCGAAAAATCGATCAAACCAATAAAAAATCATGGGGGTTGATTCAAGCATGATTTGAAGTCTCAAATCGCTAGTTAATTGAACCAGCCCAACCCATTTACATGTTTTTTTTTTTTTAATTTAAGAAAAATATAAAAATAAAAAGATAAACCCTAATATCATAACTATTTCTCGATACCCTCTAATTTATAATGTTGATTGCAAGTAAAAGCACCAAAAATTTCCTTTCATAAGCTCATTATGTTATACTTAATATTTTTCATTACTCAGGCAGTCAAACTATATAATACATAAAAAAGTAACAAAATTTTTAAGTTTTCTGTTAATCTGTCTCTATTAACCTGATTTTATTTGTTAGTTAATAGTTCTTATAATATTAAATTATTATATTATTTTAGTTTTTGTAGCTTAAGTGGGCCCAAAATTTGAACAATTTTTTTTTGAAAAAAATTCTGTTTGGACTAAAAGTCCAGACCAACTAATCAAACTGAATTTGGTTTGGTTTTGTTCGGTTAGGTTTAAGATATAGAGTGGGTTGGTTTGTGTTGAGATTCGTTCATATCGACTAATTAGGTTTTGGTTTCAGGTTGGAATCGAAATCGATCCAAAACCAAACTGCACCTAGGCCTAAAATTAGATATGATCGATTAGTTTTGGGTCAATACTTAGCTCTTGTTTGAGCCCAATTATTATCAAAATTTATTTTAGACCACACATTTTTTCATAAAATAATTTTACCCCAAAATAATTTTTTTCTCTATTTTTATAACCACACATTCTCTAAAAAATCATTATTTCAAAATACATTATCCTAAAAAAATAGGGCTCCGGCAGGGGCTTAATATATTTAAAGTCCAACATATGAGCTTAATTAAAGAAGTTCGGCAGCCTATTAAAGAAGGTCTATACATTCACTAGTGCTTTATTTGCCTATTATATATAATTTTGTTGTAAATAATATGTTTATTTGTGAATGATAGTTATATATAAATATGGAACTTTAATTCTCAATAAAATACACACAAGTATATTGATTTCTAGACTTTCTTTTCTTTTTTCTCTATTTTAAAACACATTATTAACACGATAACTTAATTGTTTTTATAATTCAAAGTCTAGTATTATCTAGATATGAAGAAAAGAAAAAGTGTTCATTACTTCATCTAAATTTCAAAAGAAATTTAAATTTAAATTCATCTTCGTATCATAAATGAACTTGACGAAACCTAATAATTATTTATAATGCACGTATCAGGTAGTAGGGCTGTAAGCAAAAACCGCAAAATCGAAAAATCGAACCGAAATCGCATTTTAGAACCGTTGGTTTGGTGCCACGTGGACCCGGTCAACGAAATGGTTTTGACCCAAACCAAACCGGTTAAAATATCATCATCATCCAATAATCCTAATATATATTTAATAATTTTAAGACTAACATAATCTATCAAAAGCCTTTTTCCTCTTCAAAATTTAGGTGAACTCTAGTCGACACCCAACACAGTTTTGAGCCACCGGCATCACATACTTCTTTTCAGATTTTTCATGCCTCTTCAAAGTCGAATTGAAGTCCATTATACCAAATCGGAGACAAAGAGATCCTAGACCTTCGGTGATAATATTTGCTACATATAAAGTTTTAGATCAATAATTTTTTGGAGCAAACTAAGATAAGAATATGAAATTAAATGTGTTTCGTAACATCATACAAACGTAAACTTGTGTAATTGTTATGTTTAGATATTATAAACAATTACTTCATTATTGTAGTTGGTTATTCTCTTTGTTTAATCAATATCTTTTTTTCAGATAAGATGATCACGAGATCTTGTTGGACATCATTATATTTTTTGGACATTATATCTAGTTTAGTAGACTTGTATTATAACGTTATTGTATCGTCATTAACCTAAAAAAGGTGAACGAAAATGAAAAAAAAACTATGTTTTAGTTTATTGTGATTTCACTTTGATTTAGTTAATATTTAAATTTATAGTAGATATATTTAGTCTCTGTTTGAGCCATATTTTCCATATCATCATAATGAGAAAATTGACTATTGGAGAGGAGGTTGGGTCCCACACATGAAGTAGCAGGTCAACAAAGGCGGCTGGACTTATGGAATAACGATCCAAATTTTCATTTTTTTGTCCCAAAAATTTGGTTTAAACAGGGGTTTAGTTTGTTTTAGATTTATTACTGGTAAAATATAAATATATATTAAATTCAATGAATTAATGACATAAAAGTAGACGGACAAAAAAATTTATAGTGAAACTGGCGATTTAAAGCCGGACCAAACCGTTAGGTTTAGGTTTGAGTTTTTTTTCAAACCGTTCAAAATAGTTTGGTTTAGATTTGAGTTTTTCTCAAACCGTTTTAAATGGTTTGATTTGAAAATTTGTCAAAAATCGGTAAAATCGGACCGCTTACACCCCTATCAGGTAGCATCTATAGTGGACCAAATTCTGTGTCTGAACTCTTGATTTCGAAATACGTGCAACTTGTTTTTTGTAACTCATAATTGTCTCTATTAGTTTCCATA